CGACTCTGCATCGCTCGCTGATTTTCAATGGTTGCCCATTGACTGATTGGACTGTGATTGGTTTGGCCATACGTGAACGTTTGACAGACAATTTATTTGCGAACTCGTCATCCATCAACGTTACAGTAGCGCCACTGTCAACCAGAACGGGCGTGCTCACAGGCTGGGACTTGGGACGGTCCAGGTTGCAAACACGAGCTGGAAAAACAAAGGCGCCGTTTTCTTGCCCACTCGTCAGATGGCCCTGGCGGTGGGCTGGGCTTTTCCCTGCTGGGATTGGCCCTGCCGGCCTTGCTGCGGCTCGTCGTCGTCGTCGTCGTCGTCGTCGTCGTCGTTGGCAGCCCAGTGCGCGAACAGGGCGGCAGCGAGCTGCTTCTTGGAGAAGCGCGTGAGGCACCTGCTGGCAATGTGACCCGGCTCCCTGCACTTGTAGCAGAGGCCTTTCGCCAAGCATTCCGCGCGCTCCTTGTCAGTGATTGGTGAAGAGGACGAGCGCTGCGACGGGCCCGGCTTGTTGTTGTGCGCTGCCCTGTTGCCGTTGCCGTTGCGGTTGCCGTTACCGTTGCCGTTGCCGCGAGCCGAATTGTTGTAAGTCGCATAGTTGCCACCATTGCGACCGGCGTTGTTGCTGTTGTTGCTGTTGTTGCTGTTGCTGTTGTTGTGACCGCGGTTGTCGCTGCTGTCAAGGGGGGTGTTGTCGCTCACCCTGTTGCCGTTGTTTCTGCGCTTCGGCTCGAATTGCATCGAATACAGGATCGAGGCCTTGATGTTCGCCAGCGTCTCATCCAAGGACCAGTCGAGGGCATGGGTGGCGTACACGACGGGCGGTAGTGCTGCGAGCAAGTCCTGCTTGATGCCGTCCTCGGTGATGTTGATGCCGCGAATGCGCCTCAGCCTCTCAACCGTCTCGACCACCTCCTTCACGCTGCGTGCCGTGTAGCGCAGGTCGGCCAGTAGCTGGCGCGCACGCGCTCCAGTCGTTTCGTCGCTGAACTTTCTCTTGAGCGCGGCCAGCAGCTCGTCCGAAGTGCTACCCGGTTTGTCGTCCAGCTCGTCCATGATGAACTCCAGTGCCGAGTCCGACAAGCAGGTAATAAGGACGGTAACCTTGTCCTTTTCAGTCAGTGAGACCATCTTGCAACGATTCGAAAAATTTCTCACAAAACGATCCAGGTTGTCGGCGCTGCCATCGAACTTTGACACGCCGAAGAACTTGCACAGGTCGTTAAAACTCATGGAGGCCGTGACGCTGGTGTCTATCTCAGCCAGGATCTCGGCATTGTTTTGCTCGATACCCTGTGCCATTTGCTCGGGACTGAGCATAGACGTGTTGCTATCGGTGTCCGTGTCGCCACTGGCGTTCGAGGGGCCAGCGTCGCTCATGGTGAGATCTTGAATGAAAGATTGGAGAAAGGATTGAGAAAAAAGTGCGAGAAAAGTGAAAACCGCAAAGAACTGAAAAAGGAAAACACGTGAAGATGTGGGGAAAAGATAACAAAGAAAGACGGCCACAGCAGTGCCGAGTGCGATTGCAGTGCTGGGGTCGAAAAGGGGTCTTGATCACTGCGGTGTCTCGAACACAGCAGTCGTGGTGGGGAATGTGGAAGAACGAAGCAAAGTGAAAACAAAAATGCAAGGAATGAGGGGAGAAAGAGAAGGAAGCGAAGAAAAATGAAATGAAATGAGAGAAAAAATGAAAGAAACGTGGCAGAACAGAAAGAGAGAGAAAACGAGTCGTGATCACTGCGGCGTCTTGAGATGCAGCAGTCGTGGCAGTCGGGGAGAAGAGTCTGTCGATGAACACTGGGTGACAAAATGTTGATTCGTCAAATTGTCAGAGTCAATGCAAAGGTACGTCGATTGTCAGGCAATGTTCATGAATAAAGGTATATTGACGAATGAACCATTCCCAGTATGGGAGACATGACAAACAATACAAGGTAATGCATGCAAGTAAGTAGGCATGCCAGTGGGGCATGACACGAGGCCGAAACGCTGTTCAGCCACGCGCAAGGGCCCTGGTTCCCTAGACAGCGTTCGCAATGGCTCTTTGGCCCTATCAAGAACAAACGCTACCACGCCTTGATGAAAGACGAAGCACTCGCTTGTCTCACCATCGTCATGCACACTGCCCGTTGGACTCTCTGGACGCTGCGCTGCACTGCCAAGTTCGACAACACAGTGTTCACCCCCGCCGACGCGGTCCTCCGCTTTCGGTACCTCATCACACTGGCAGCGCGCCTCGAGCACTCTACCAAACCCCTCCCCAATCCCTGGAGGACTGACGACGACGGCGACGACTTTGGCGCCGCCCCTCTCCATACTGATGAGCAAGAGCATCCCCCCTTCGAAAGCAGGTGGGGAAAGGCTTTGGAAATCCGGTACAATGAACGTCTTTCCACACAACTGTTTGCCCTCGCGTACACCTAGTACCCGCGAATCGTGTGTAAAGCGGTTGACCGTTTCTGAATTGTCGCTCCTTACGACAGTGTGCTGTCCCACCGCCTGCCAGCCGTCTACTTGTTAGTGAACCGAAATGGCTAGCAACATGTCTTTCGTGGTGTATAGGTGGGGAATGCCTGATCCTTTCCATTGTCAGCCCGGCTGATCATCTGTTCGAGTTCCTCCGCGAGCTCTTG